ACGACATAGCGTGTTCAGTTCAAATATGATTTAGTGGATAAAGGAAGAGGCTAAGACAGGATGACCTCAAGTGTCAGGCATATGAGCACCCAAATTACTCTTGGTCACGAGGAATCAATCTTGCAAGAACGGACACCACAAACGGAGGGATGAATCTCCTGACTTTGTGGGAGGATGAAATACTAACGGTGGGATGAATGTTCTGACTTAGTATATAGGAGTACAATCGGATGGATACAAGCATCCAGACCTTGTATGGAGAGAGAATAGGAAAAAAGCTCAAAGGAGCATTATGAAATAAAAGGTAGTTTGATGATTGCGTATATAGAATATACTGATCAAACTGCTGGGAAGGACTTGTCTCTTTCCTCGGAGGACTGCGGTAATCATTCCGCTATCACTAAATCGGCAATCAAGAGCCGTTACAGTTACCTTAGTTTGATCAGTATACCTTATCGCCATTTAACATTAATAATAACAAGTATTTACAATGTATATACATATTTCAATTTACAATTTGAGTATTTTATACTACAATATTGAGAAAATATAATACAATTTTGAAAACAATGAATGAACCCGCACATGTGGCGCTGCCAGGTAGCGGGCCGGTGGGTTGTCCTCAACTACGTTCCGGTAAAGTTGTCCGCTGTAGGCTTGATGGCTGGCAGAAAAGGGCAGCCACACAAATTTATGCTATATCATAAATGAGGAACGTACGGGCTCATCAAGAGATCAAGGAATTAAGGTGGCCACGCCATGTGTTTAGGTACCTTTTGCTTTTCTTTAATTTGAATGAAGTTTCTAGATAATTTGAAAAAATGTTTCAGAACATTATCCTGCTTGAAAACAAATACTTGATCCACAATTCTCTGGAAAATCGAGACGCAGGAAAATGCGGTGATGTTTTTTTTTTTTTCATAATTACCTCTATTTAGTTGACGAGACCCCAAACCATAACTGATCCTTCACCTTGCCCTACAGTTGGTATTCTACATTGATTTATCACACGTTCACCAACCATTCGTCGGTGAAAAACACTTTCGACTACTATTCTATAGACCAATTTCCATGTTTTTCGACCAATTCTAATTATCTGTTTGTTTTCTTAATAGGGGTTTTCTAGCAGCTGCGTTGCCTTTTAAACCATTATCACGAAGTCGACAGTTATACACCATTTACCCTAATACTGCAGCATCAGCAACTTCTCCCCACCACTATATATCGGTGCTTATGCAACGTTCTACTTTTAGAAGAAAAAAAAAGGCAAATCAACTCTAAAAAGTTCAACTTCGATTGGCACAGGAAGGTGGCGACACGGTCTAAGTACCGCAGATAGCCAGTGGCCCTCCAGGTTGAGGAAACACTGACACTCACTCAGTACACAGATTACAGCTCACTACACTCACCTCAACATTACACTAAGGTCAATAACACAACTCACCCTAGGGCAACCTCCCCTAGGTAGCCTCACCGAATGGGGGAGCGAGTCAGAGAGCTCTGCGGAGGCAGCCCCTCCACCTGACTCGGGGGCAGTGTGCCAATAACCTGCTCCAGCACATCATAACGAAACCTCAAAGAGATAATGCCGGACTGATGACTGGTAACAAAACTGAAAACCTCCTTAAGGACATAAATGGAATATTTTAACATTATATAGATCCGGAGAACTTCAGAGCCTCTTGAAGATAATAAGCTGTTACGAATTTGATATCACCGCACTTCAAGAAGTTAGGTGTAAAGGCACAGGAATCCTCGAAAAATGTTTCCACGCCGTGTATTACAGCTGTCACAAAATTCACACAATAGGGATGGGATTCATTGCGAGAGGAAGCATGAGGAGAAACCGTATCGGCTTTGTTCCAGTGAAACCTAGGCTTTGCCGCTTAGGTGTCAATGCTCTATTCTACAACTTTAGCGTATTGAGCTGCCACGCATAAACAGAAGTTGCCAGTGAACAGGAGAAAGAATAATTTTATGATGCCATAGAAAGACAAGTGGCCTAGTTTTGTGCCCTCAAAGCGATATTAAAATACTGATTGTGGACTTTAATGCTAAGGTTGGCCGCGAAAAGATATTCCGTTCCACTATTGGAAGATTTAGTGTTCATGGCGAGAGCAATGGGAATGGCCATAATTTTTGCTGCATCACGGAATCTGACTATTGGAAACACACTTTTCCTGGGAAGAAGATTCATAACGTAATCTGGAGGTCTTCTAACGGGCGTACTTTTAATCAAATAGACCATATCTTAATCTCCTTTCGACACAAGTCTAACCTAATGAGCTGCCGAACATTCCGGGGTGCTAATATGGACTCCGACTATTACTTGGTGATATCCAAGATTAGGACCAGGATCTCCAGCAGTCATGAAGCAAGAAGAGATAGAAGCAGAAGGATCGACACTGACAAACCCAAGGTTGCGGAGGTGCATCTGAGATACCAGGAGTAGGTCAGGGATGAGATAAGCCAGGCATACCGGTTGTTGGAAGGAGGTTCGACCGTTGATGATTGGACTTGAAGGGAGCAATAAAGAACTCAGCCAAAGATGTGATGGGAGAGAAAGAGAGAGAGACTAGAGAAGGATGGTTAGAAGAAGAATGCCGGAGGGTCTCAGGAACAAAAAATGAAGCATATAGGAGAATGGTATATAGAAGATGTAGAAGGAAGGAGAAAAAAAGCATTTTATTAAAGCTGGATATGTTTCCAATAACACGAAGAGCGCTGTTTAACTCGTTCAAAATTTCATATTGTAATAATATTACATCACGCTTTATCAAAACCCACTTACACAGTTACACTTCTTGATTGTTTCATCAAGACTTTGATTTAGAAACTTAACCACATAAAACCGGGCTTGCCTCGCGCCTTTTTCTAGATGGCAGTAGTGAGCGTGTCTACCAATGTTTATGTTGTTTCAGTTCAAGAAAAAGTGGACAAATTTAGTTTCTAAAGGATTTTATGCGATTAATAGTGCACATACTTTTTAATAACTTAAAATTGCCATGTCTAAACGCAAACAATTGAATATTTCTTGTTTTTTTAATAAGAAAAGATTGACGGAAAGAAATAAACATGAGGAGCAATTCTGTGGTGCAAGTGAAACGGATGAAGGTAATGTTTACTCTACTCTTCCGTCGTCGGATACAGAACCTGTCCAGGCAAATACTACTAGTTCTAGCTCAGAAAAGTATGATATAGGTAATTTTGTTGGGAAAACCAGTATTCCTGACAATGAATTGTACAATGTTTTAACAAAAGCGTGGACCCCAAATAATAATTATATTTTTCCAACCTATTTCGAATCTGGGCAAAAACGTAAATTTAATTTGAGGTGGCTAGGTGACAATCCATGGTTGTCATATAGTAAAAAAAATGATGGGGCGTATTGCCGAGTTTGTGTGCTGTTCGGACCCAATGAGGCGGACATAAAAAAGAACACGCCGCTTGAGCAGTTAGTTACTATCCCTTTGAAAAAAAAACAAGCATGCTCTTGAAATGTTTAGGGATCACAGTAAAAATAATTATCATATATTTTCAGTCTTAAAAAGTATCGATTTTATAAAAAACATACGAAAAGCCTGAAAATAAAATTGACATTTATTGGAAACGGTAGCAAGTAGAAGAATAACCGAAAATAGGAAACGTCTGGTTCCTATTGTAAAAACCATTTTGCTATGTGGAGCAGAAAATATTGCTCTTCGTGGCCACGGCGATGATGGAAAACTTGAAAGAGATAATACTGAGCAACAAGGGAAATTTCGGGCGTTGTTGAGATTTAGAATTGATGCAAGTGATACAGAATTAGAAAATCATTTAAAAATTGCTCCAAGGAATGCTACTTTTATAAGCAAAACCATACAAAACGATCTGATTCAATGCTGTGGGGAAATTATTGTAAGCAAAATCGTGAGAGAAATTAAAAAATCACAATATTTCTCATTGATTGCAGATGAAACCCGAGATACCAGTTCGACTGAGCAGATGACTTTGTGCATAAGTTATGTAGACATTGATGTTTTTAAAATTAAAGAAATGTTTGTTGATTTTGTTGAAGCCAATGAAGTAACTGGTGAAAAGCTCACAGCTCTTATTCTAGACAAACTTCACGAACTTGGTCTTGATATTAATCATTTAAGAGGTCAAGGCTATGATGGCGGTTCAAATATGGCTGGCCAATTTCAATGTTGTGCAAGCTAGGATTAAACAGTTGAATCCCCTAGCTGTTTATATCCATTGTGCATCACATCAGCTAAATCTGGCCTTGACTCACGCATCGGCCGAACCTAGCATTAGAAATGCTACTGGATTCATAAATGAAGTTATTAACTTTTTAAAAGATTCTGCACAAAGAGTTCACAAAATGGACACAATCTTAAGAGAACAGCATCCAGGTGGAAAGCGGCACAAACTGATAAGTTTGTGTGAAACTCGTTTCATTGAGCGACATGATGCTGTCACATTTTTTTAAAAAGTAATTGATTCAGTCATGTCATGTCTAGATGCCATTGATAAAGAAAAACCAACAGCCAAATCTGCCGGTCTTCTTTTCTCTGTGCGTAGGTTTGATTTCGTTATTACTCTGCACATTTTAGGAACGGTACTTGATTTAACAACTTCATTGTCAGTACATCTTCAGAGTCCTCATGTCGAACTTCAAGAATGCTACGTTATGGCAAATTCTTTAGTCAAGTTACTCCAAAAATATCGGTCTGACAATGAATTTTACGACAGAATTTTTGATGCAGCCACAAAAGTGGCAACACAGCATGATATTACGACAGAAGCTCCCCGAAATGTGAGAACTCAAATTTATCGACCTAATGCTCAATCCTCTTGTCCCCGTGACTATTATAGAATAAATGTGTTCATCCCATTTCTTGATACACTCATTAATCAAATGAATACAAGATTTTCATCAACTAACATTGATCTCGCGAAACTTTTTAGCCTCATTCCAGCATTTGTAAAACCAGCTAAATATGACGAGGAGATTGTAAATGTTGCAGAAAGGTACAGAATCTAGTGCATTTCAATTATACAATGAAATAGCGATGTGGCGTGAACACTGGACCCAGCAGAAACAGAAACCTCCGTCTAAAGCAATCGATGCTCTCTGCGACTCTTCAGCTCGATTTTACCCAAATATTAGGAAATTGTTACACTTACTCTGCATCTTTCCAGTTACTTCATGTACAGGAGAAAGAAGTTTTTCATCTTTGAAATTGATTAAAACCTACCTACGATCAACTATGCGAGAAAACAGGCTTAACGGTCTTGCCCTGATGAATATTCACAAGAACGTTATTGACATCGATCCTTCCGAGGTATTAATATTATTTAATATAATTATTTTTATTTTCTTCAAAAAATACTATATATATAATGTAGTAGTAATCTATAAATTTACTTCAGGTAATAGACATGTTTGCTCAAAAGTACCCAAAAGTACCTCTACATTGACAAAGAAACAAATGGAAAGCGTATTGTGATTTAGAAAATATAAATTACTTTTTATTATTAATTTTTGTTTGATAGTATAATAAGGTATTAATTTTATTAATATAAGATAGTAATTTTATTTTATTTGTTCAGTATATATATTATTGTAATAAAAGTGTTCAATAGTAACTAGATTGTTTAAATTATCCCTGAAAGCATTTTTTTTTTTTTTTTTTTTTTAAACGACAAATGAACGCCATTGTGTATAGTTTTAATATGGTTTATTTCTTTTTTTCTCGAGTATTACATTTATGGAAATTAAAAAAAAATAATCAAGCCCCCCCAAAATTTTATTCTGGATCCGCTTGTGCTCTGCCACATCATTAAGTATTCACAAATGGCATAGTTACAGTGATATAAAGATTGTTTTAATATTGGACTTTATTAATAGAATAGGTAAAATATGATTACTAATATTCTCTCGAATAAAATTTGATGAAGAAATTAGCGATAAAGATGTTATGATAAAATGACAGGAAGGAGAAATTGACAGTCATAATTTACATAATTTATACCCAGCCTTATCAGATGTCTTAAATCATATGATTTTAAGGGAAGTTGACCAAATTAGGAACGCTATTCTAAATCGATGTTCTGATAGAATAAAAAGAATTTATGGACTAGACCAAACACTACATATGTCAAGAAAAGAACATACCTACTCTAATAATAACAATCATAATAATCATGACCATAGACCCCACAAAGAATTTAAAAAATAATCTCTTCCTTCGCATTTGTGTATTTCTCGTTTTATACCATACCCTTCCTTTCCTGTTATCTGCGAAGAATTCACATATATTTCCAGCCTGTCAGTTTTATATATATATATATATATATATATATATATATATATATATATATATATATATATATATATATATATACATATAGGGAGCAGGGAAGCTCAGTGGGTGAGCACTGACTTCCAGCTCAAGGTCCCAGGTTCGAACCCGACTGATGACTAGTAATTTTTTGTAAGCCGTAAGTCGACCCTGGAGCCGAGAGACCCTCCAGGCAAACTCAGCCTCTATAAAATGGGTATTCTTAATCAAATAATTAATTAAAGGGGAAAACCTGGCGGTGGAGTGTGATATTGGCCCGTCACCTACCTTCACAACCCTTGGCGTTGTAACAGTACTTCCTCACATATGTACTGAACATGGGTTGTTAGTGGTACAGGTTGTTTATGTACATATTTTATATATTATTTTTTATATTATTATTTTTTATATTTTATATATATTATATATATATATATATATATATATATATATATATATATATATATATATATATATTCTTCTTTTTTTTCGTGGTTGGCACTACAGACCAGGAAGATCTTTCGTCGCGAGATGTTGTGTCCTTACAGATGTATGTTGCTTGAGGAATCACCAATTGCCTGGAGGGATCACTCAACCTCACGTTGCTACGAACCATGGTTTCCATAGTGCAGCAGCAGGCCACCCGTAGCTCCATAGATGATCCCTCTGGGGCCAATCTGGCAGTGTCCTTCCCACCTACTCACTCGGGTTCAAGGACACTGATAAATTGGTCTAGACCCATAGATTATGGCTTCTCTGAGTTAGCAAGCGCACGAGAATCTATATTTCTTTCCCCGAAATGAACCTCGGGGGAGGGGGGATTACTAACATCCTGGTAAGCCACATCCCGATTCCCTATTTAAGTACACGGGGTAGGGTGATCAGTCCTACGCCCTTGTACGAGACTTGGGCAGCATGGCTTTCCCTGGTGAATGGTCACCCAAATCGTTCGGTTACCCATCCAAGTACAAACCACGCTCGACGTTACTTAAAATGTGTGTTATTACCTATTGCAAGCGCCTTAGCCCGTGCGGCTACCCCAGCCCCATTATGTATGTATATATATATATGTTTTAGTGTTAAGTGGCCAAACTACAAAAATGAACCAGAAAAAAAAGTCTTCTGAACGTATGTCCGCAAACGCTTTGTTTAGGAGATATTCATACCTAAAGATTTTCGTTGTTATGAATTATTTACGTTACATGAAATAAATAAAACCTATTTATTTGTTCTAACTACTTCATTAATTAAATGTAAACATTAACATTAATATTAAATGTTGTTTAAAGTGATTTCCTTTGGGACAGGCTCGGCATCTTTCTTCAACAGTAGCAGTGCCAGAACGGCACTGGATATGTGTTATTGTTTTACAAGATTCAATTATCCTTCTTCGTAAGGAATTAAGGTCATTAAGAAAAAGTAGGAAAAATCCCATATAATTTATTAAATTAGCTTAGTTTAGCCGCTCAAAAGTCGTCTTTAAATTTTTTTTAATAAAGATAAACTCTATTACCATTTGCAGTAAATTTTGTCTTGTTTACAGCGAAGCAATTTTTAATTTCTCAAATTAAATATTTCTTTAGTTATCGCTTCCTATTTAACAAAAAACGTTACTTACTTAAAATAAGACAAAACTTGGATTTTCTTTATATTAGATTATATTTATATTAACTTGGATTCGATTATACTAGAGATACCCAAAAAGGTAAGGCCAAAATTTGAGATTCATCTCAAGTTGTGTAAAGAAATGGTGTGATTTTCTAGCAAGCCACCTAAAAGTACGCTTGTTTCCAGCAAAAATGACAACAATTAACTGTTGTAAAGATTTTATTTCTTGTTTTTCCATGATCTGGGATTTATTGTAATAAAAATAATTTTCTAAATCAACTTTTTTTTTTATAAAAATTAAAAATAATGTTTCAAATATTTTTCATGTAAAAGGGTTATGAAATTGTTTTTTTCTCCCAGATCTCTGTCATAGGTATTGATCCATATTTATAAATGACAAACTTAATGTCTCTAACCCAAATATTTATGTTTTAATGAAAATAATTTAGGTAAACAGTAGGTTTCTACATTTCAAACATACATTTTACAATCCAAAATCCTTCATGCTCCTTACTTTGTCACAAATAAAATAATCTATAAAGACCTTAATGTTCCATATGTTTCCGATTTGGCCCAATCCAGATACATATCCTTCCATAATAAACTTCATAAGCATCCCAATCATCTTGTTTCTAACCTTGCTTCATCATCAATTCCTGATAATCCTCCGAGGCGTCTAAAAAGAAGATGGCCGCGTGATCTCCTTTTGTAGACAAATTATTAGTGTGCTACCAGTGAGCAGTTTCTCATCAAGCGTTTTCATTTGATTATATTTCTGTGTGCACATTTACTTGGTGTATTTATATTAATACAGTTGTAAATATCATAAATAAAAAAATTAAAAAAACATACATTTTATGACTAGAAACACTATGTTTGTCACTGAGAAATACGGATCAATTCTTATGAAAGTGAAATGTAGAAAAATACAATTTCATAACAATTTTACATGAAAAAAAAATCATTATTTTCACATTTGTTATTTTTATAGATAAAATGTGGATTTAGGAAATTATCTTTATTACAATACAGGTGGACTGACTGGTTAGAAAATCACATCATTACTGTACACAACTTGAGGTGAATCTCAAACATTTGCCCAATAAACCTCAACTTAATTAATGTGAACTTAAAGCTTATTAAACAAGGAAGTTTTCCTAAAAGTGTGGTATCTGTAGTATAATCAAATATAAATCGCTAAAAAAAAAATCGCATATAATTTTTCTAAAAGCAGAAATTAGCTTGGTATAGCCTCTCAAAAGTCGTCTTTAAGTTGTTTTAACAATGACCAACTCCATTTTCCTTTGAAATAAATTTTCTCTAGTTTACAGCGAAGCAATTTTTAATTACTTAAATTAAATATTTCTTTAGTTATCCCCTACTATTTAACAAAAAACATGACACTTAAAATAACACAAATCTTGGATTCCACACTTTTCTACTGAAAATAGGCCCATTATTTATACAAACTTTTTTGTAGCTCTTGAGATTTGCTATCTCTCTTATATAAATTGTCCTCTACTTACGGGACACCCTGTATATATATATATATATATATATATATAATGTGTTCTAAACGTAATGTTGCTATTTTTTCACATTTAAACTAAAAAACATTTTTTTCACATTTGACTTACTTACTCTCAATCCTTTGAAATACACATGGGATTAAGAAAAAATAATCTATAAAATATAGATATAGCCTCGACTAGAGGCATACAACTAACCAATTATAATTCTAAATTTAGATTTTAATGAAATTGTTTAATCGTAAAATTTAGTCGTAAACCTTAATAAATTAGCCATAAATACTGTTAAAAGGTTGAACTTTACATCCTTGGGTATTATTTGGATATTCCTTACCTCTATCAGGTCATTTTCTTTACATATCAGAATAATAATCCCAATTAGTTAGTATTTTTCTTTCGGTCAGTTAACATGGAGTGGGGCGATAAAGACAACCGAATAGCTGTGATCGCCTTACACTAAGTCGAAAAATGTAGGTCAGAGATTTTCAACACTCAGAAACTTTCGGGAATCAGCCGTATGCTCGTGTACCGCACTATAAATAGATATAATGAGACCCTATCTGCATGTGACAGAACGGCAAATGCAGTGAGAGTAGTGGCTGCTCGAATCAGAAGAAATCCCATTCGAAAATAACAAATCATGCCTCAGGAAATGGAAATCTCTGTCAGATCAATTTCTCGCACAATAAAAACCTTAGGATGGGTGCTAACCACTTCCCTAAAACGAATTAGATTGGATAGATGCTAAGTGTTCCTTGGTCTTTACACCAATGGTATTCATCGAAAAATTTTGTTCAGCGATGAGAAAATGTTGACAATTTAAGAAAAATTGAATCGACAAAATGATCGTCAGAACAGCTCTAAAGAAGTCCAGGAAGTCGTTGAAAGATTGGAAAGAGGGCATCACCGTTCCTCAGTGATGGCTTGGTGGGGAGTTTGCTTTGATGGCACCACAAAGCTTCATTTTTGTGAAAAAGGAGTTAAAACAGCCACTAAAACT